ATTCATGGGTCAGGGCACAGACCAACTCACTTCCTCCACCCTGCACAGCCACCCACTGTGGCTGTGTGAGCTCTGAAAGCCCCTTCAGCAGCCCATCTCTGCCTTGCATCCAAGGCCTTGGCACGCCAAGGCAGAGTGGAAAAGCACAGAGCTCTGCTCTCAGTCTGCTGCTGATACCACTGCAGAGGCAGCTGAGGGGACAGCAGGGACTGCCTCTCATCAGGTAGCTGAGCCACATCCCCAAGAGCAGCCCAGGTCAAAGGCAGCAAAGAGAGGCTTTGAACCTCTGTGAAGGACCAGTCTGCCCGTGGGAAAGCACATCCATGCCCATGCAGACAGCAGCACGTTACCAGTTCATATAAGACCTGAGGGTATTACAGCGTGCTGAGCCCCTGTAGCAGCAGGAAGCCCTTTGCTCCTGTGCGTGGGGATCAACAGGATCCCTTCTCAGGGCAAAGGACATCCCCTTGTGGCTGCTGGGGCTTCCCACCTGCATCTGCCCACAGCACTAAGCTGGATCTGATCAAGGCTGGAAGGATGTTGTGGGGCTGAGAAAGTGCCCAGGATATCTGCCCGCAAGCAAGAGCTCAGCCCCACACCAACCTCAAGCCAGAGGGTCTGTCCCTCTCTGCTTCACCTCCTGCAGCCTTCCCCAGGATGCTTCTGGGGGCAGATATAACAGGCACCATTCTTAAGACTTGCCTGGGCCTGACAGCCCCCCAAATTCTGCCCCAGTGGGGCTGCTCAGCCCTGGCAAAACCCCTCCGTGTGCCTGTGCACGCTGCACCTTCTCAGTCCAGAGGCTTTGCCCACCATGAAAACCAAGTGGAGGGATACAGAGAAGTTTGGCCACGTGGCAGAGAGCTGGCTAGCCCCAGATCCCTCATCCCCCTCTTTGCTCAGCTTCCCCCAGCACCCCAAATAAACCAAGCTGTTCTCCATCTCCTTTGCATGCTCCCCCTGCAACTCCTCTCCGGCTCCATCCCTGTGCCTGGCAGCATCTCAGTCCTCCCAGGGGCAAGAAACAGCCTGTCCTTACAGCCCACCCAGGGTAACATTTCCCCACAACAGGCTCGCTTTTAATTTGCTTACCCAAGCAATAAAGCAGAAATGAGAAATGGCAGCTAATTAAAAGTATTGATTCCTGTGGCATTCAAGACTGTCCGGACTGAGTCACAGGGGGAAAGAGGGATGAGGAGCCTGGAAGAAGAACAGGGGACAGTAAGACTGCAGTGCTGCAGACAGGTGTCTGCAGCAAATAACAGCTGCTCTGACAACCCTGCTTGTACTACACACTGTCCACAAGACACCAGTTCTTTTCTTTACCAGAAAAATCTCCAAGATTCCCATCACATCAGCTCCATGTGAACCCTCGTTTGACATGGCCCTTTTATTTCTAAGCCTAGCTGGTAGTAGGCAGACAAAAATCCTGAAAAGGGGGAAAAGCACATTGGGGATGTGTTTGTGCAGCGATGGCACAGCACACTCAAAGGTCACCGCTCGCAGAGCCCTCTGACCTTCACGTCTGCGAAGCCACACGCAAACACACAGAAGATGTTGTCTTTGTGACTCAGGTACACACAGGACTCAGAGGGTGCCCGGGGCCAGCAAATCCAGACAACTTCCAGCTCATCCACTCTGCACACACCACTGGAGCCTCCCTGCTACGAGACGGGTTTTAAAACCAAAGCCGGCGCCTGTCGCTGCCTGTCCGTGGGGATGGGAGCGGGGGAGATGGAGGACACCAGCAGGGCCTCAGGGCTCTGCCATGGCCAGGTTTCTCTCAGCAGAAACCCACAGTTCATGGGAATGTACTCAAACTGAAAGACTAGGTTTAGGTTTGATATTAGGAAGATATTCTTCCTGCAAGGGTGGTGAGGCCCTGGCACCAGAAGAGTTGTGGATGCCCCATCCCTGGAAGAGTTCAAAGCCAGGCAGGATGGAGCTCTGAGCAACCTGGTCTAGTGAAAGACATCCCTGTACATGGCAGGGGGGTAGAACTAAATAATCTTTAAGGTCCCTTCCAACCCAGGCCATTCTGTGATTCTATATAGGTGAGGAAGATGCTCATGACAAGAAAGGAGCTGGAGTTGCCTCTGCCTGGCCAGTGTGGGTCTGTCTGGAGGGGAAGGTGGCAGCTGTATCCTCACTTCTCAACAAGGGTAAAAAAAACTTTGTCTCAAGAGACAAGCCAAGTGAAGAGCATGTAGAGAGTGCTCTGTCAGAGACAGAGCTGTGAATAGGCTCAGGAGCACCCACAGCCACCCATGAGGGGAGAAACTGCCACTCTCTTGCTCTGCACTCCCCATGCCACCATCTCCCCAGCCCTCTGTCTTGTATAGCTACCAACAGCTGTCCTCAAGGGATCAGAAAAGGGCCAGAAACTGTGCCTGAAGGCTTGTTCCCCATCCCTCTGACCTCACACACCAAGCAAACGACACCACGACCCAGAGTACAAACGAAACGGGGTACCCAAGTGCAGCATCCCCTTCTCAGGACTCAGAAGCAAGGAAGAACCTGCAGGAAATTCCTTTTCCTCTGAATATGCTCCAAAACCTTCACAGAGAAGTGCCAGAGTACCTTCAAAATTTCCTCCCTTCAAAACTGCCCTGTTAGATTCCTCAGCAAGGTTTGCACCCACCTCATGGGGAGATCTTCCCCCATTGCCTGGTGTGTTATCCTGGCTTCCCCTGAGCTCCAAGGGGGAATTCAGGCACACACTTGGGCTCCTTTTTCTCACTTCTGCCAGCCTATCCTGTTGTCCCCAGCGAGAAGCCTGTTCTGCCCAAGCTCTTCAGGCCATACTGCCTTGCCAAGCGGGCAGTTCTTCCTAAAGCACAGCCAGGCATGGAGAGGGCCAGTGGCCACTTCACCAGCACCCCCCTGCCACCATCCCACATCACACACGGGGATCACAGCACTGGAGGGGATCAAAGGTCCTGCTGCAACTGCAGGTAATCCATCCAGGCAGGCAGGCAGAGGGATTCACTCTCTGTAACAGACTTTATCTGGCTCCGAGAGGGATAAACCTAAATCCTCTACTGTATTTCCCCTCCACTCTCTAGTCCAGAAGATATAATGTGACATGTGGCCGAGACTAAAAGGCAATTTTAGGAACAGTTCCAGCAGAAATGTGTCACTTGGGGCAGGGAGGGTGCAAGGATGACTGAAGTCACAGAAGAAGGAGAGGGAAAAAGACCTGCAGTCTACAAACATCCCTCCTTGCAGCCCCTGGCTCTGCAAGTTCTCATCCTAAACCGACTGCAGGGAGGAACCAGCCAAGGTGGGTGCCCCCATAAGAGGTGGCAAGCTCACAGGCAACCAGTCCTGTCACCTACCCCAAGCCTGGATCCTTGCTCCAAGACCTGCAACCCTGCCAAAGCTGCCTGGCTCCCACCCCCTGCACTGCCCAGGCACAGCTTGTCTGAACTGTGCTCTCCCAGCAATGGGAAGAGTCTGCTGGGCTCTCCCAAACCCCACCTTGCTCCAGCTGAGTTACTGAACACCATCTCAGCTTGAGCCTTTCCCCCATAGACCACCAGCCTGGGGAATTTCTCTTGGGAGACCACCTGCAGTTCTGGGCTGAGGAAGGCACCAGGGAGAGCCCCACGATGGGACAAGGAAACCTTCACCCTCAGAAGCCCCAAAGCAGTGGGTCAGGGGGAGAAAGGGTGTTGGGAAGGCACCCAGGATCTTCCATCCAGCCCTCCAAGGAAGATGGTTGAGATGGCTTCACCTCCTGCTCACCATCACCCTGAGCTGCTGTCATGGCAACATACACTTGGATTCAGGAATCCAAGTACTTCGGATTGGGTACTTCTGCCTGTTTAACCAAAGAGAAGGCAGCACCAGAAAAGAAGGAGAGCGAGTCAAACACCATGGGAGCTCACAGACAGGCTGGCCTGGACCTGCATGATGTGCAGGTCTGCAGCCTCCTGCCACCTACAAGAGGGGTCCATTCATCCACTTAGGTTCTGCTCCTCATGGCTGGGAAACATGCTCATGGGGATGGTGATACGGCCCCCACACCACACCGAGAGTCCACATGAAGACAGGGAGATAGAGGACTTTGGCTCCACAAGAAAAAACTGGGACTCAACACCCACCGGCCTGTGTGGTGTGCTGGGTGCTCAGCACCAACCTTCCCCTCCAAAGGGCAGACCACACCTCAGAAAGGTCCTCAGATGGTCGTCAGGGGCTGCAAAGAAAACACACATTGCCCAGCACCACCACACCCCCTTTGGCAGCAGCTCCTGTGTGGGTGGGTAGGGGCTGCCCTCTCCAGCCACTTCCCAGGAGCAGCCCCAGGACACGGCACATCCAGCATCACCCGTGGACCAGGAGGACAAGCTGAGCACAGAACCTTTGCTTTGGAACCCCACTCATACCTGCAGGAGAAGCAGGCAGTGCTTTGATTTCAGAGCTATTGAATCCAAATGAGCATGAGCAAGCCATTCCCCCTCCAGGAAACAGCTGCATGGGAGGCTGGTGACCTTCTACACCACCTCCACATCCCAGCCCCTGGAGAACGGGTGGAATCTCGCTTGCAGCAGCCCTCTGCATGCAGTGCCTCACTCCTGGGATGGCAGCACCAGCACCACTCGCAGTCCTTGGCTCCCCTGGGTGCAGAGGAGGCAGGAGATGGGGGAGGAAAAGCCATCTAGGGAGTTCTCAGAGGCCCATGCTAGAGAGCTTGGAGCTGCTTCCAAACTTCCCTGATTTTCAAGAGACTCTGGTCCAGCTAGTGCATAGGAGAGACACAAGACAGAGCAGGACTGGACAGCCAGACCCCACCTCAGCAGTGCAGTGCAACTGTCACAGAGGCACAGCGCTGTGGGGAAGAGCAGCAGCACCAAGAGCAGCTGTGCTGCTGATCCTGCCACGGCACACGCCAGAACCACAGGCACCTGGGCTCCTGGTGAGCCATGAGCCAACCATCCCCATAGCCCCTGTGCTTCACACCTTTCCCCCAGCACTGCACACCCCACAGCAGATCTCACCTGGCTGAGCCTGCTGTGCTGCAGGACTTCAGGCTTCACGCCAGACCATGGGCTCAAAGCTGCTCTGAAACCCCAAAATCCTCTGGTCCAAACTCACACAAACCTTGCTTGCAGCCTGCTGACCTAACTTCCCTCTGGAGAATGGGCAAAGCCAGGTGGTCTCCTGTGCTGCAGTGTCCAGCCCTGCTGTCCACAGCCTAAGAAGAGGTTATTTTGGGGCTTGCTCCAAATGGCCTGTTCATGAACATCTTAAGAGAAACAAAAAGCAGGCTTCTGGGAGGCAGGAGTCATCACTGTTGTGTCCTGCTGAGTTGTCTCCATTTTCCCCAGCTGTGAAATGGGTACTTGCACTTCCCAGAGGTCGATGAGAGAGCTTTTTCTGGGTATCATCCAGGGATGACTATTTCATTCCTAGAAATGACGCTCAGAGGGGAGAGAAGCCCAGCATCACACAACACATTTATGGTTGATTCGCCTGAGCATCCCAGCTCTTTTCCCGCAGCTCTGGTAGAAGCAGGTGAGGCCTGAAGACGCACCCTCTGGTAGCAGAAAACATCTCTGCAAAAGTCAGGGGGCTTCCCTGCTTCAATGGCACTGCATGGGGGGCTGCCTGGTGAAGCACACACATTTCCCCCTGGTATGACCTCTCCGAATTTCAATATATTTGCTCCATATTTGACCTCTCCCATCCACAACCCACAGCTGAGAAAGCTTCTGTTGTCCAGGGGATTATTTTTGGCAATGGGAGAGATCTAAAAGAAAGAAACAATTAATAATATATGGCCAAATAGCTCGGTGCATTGTGGTGCATGGGCAAGTCACTGCAGGGCACTGAGCAGACCCTTACAGTGGGTACCCTTGGGTTTTCCTTCTGGATGCCAGCCCTAAGGAGCAGCCTTCGGCAACCCTCTGCTCCCCACCTCCAGAAGAGCCTTAGCAATGCAGGGAAAGGTAAAACCACCTGTGAAACGGGCAGCAGCCAAAGCTGTGTCTGCTGAGCCCCATGTCCGCTCTGCCAGGAATTCAGGCAGCCTGCAAGTGCAGCTGTGCCACTGTGTGCTTCCCTTCAACATCTGCCTGTCCCGCTCACTGAAAAAATCATGGAGCTGCTGCTAATTTCATTAGCAGGCCCGTCAAGCGGTTCATCAATCCATGATTTCCTGGCTTGCCGCCTTGAGGAAACAAGCGGGATCTGCTCTGAATTCACAAAGCCATCCCCTGGGGTCATTTGTCTGAAGGCTTAAAATTTCCCGAGTGCATTATTATCTCGGATTAAAACCGAGGGGGAGGGAGGGCGTTTGCTTCCTTTTTCTCCCCGTCTGCAGGAATAAGCCAGACAGTCCTAAGCTGCCGGCAGCTCCCGACCCCGAGGAAGGAGCAGAGGATCTGCTGACCCCCGGCCAGCCCCGCTCCGCCCCGCAAATGAGGCAAAGCCCACGGAGCGGGGCGCGGGTCCGGGTGGAAGAAGCTTCGGGAAATACTTGGGGTCGTGTCGCCGAAGGCTGCGACTCTGCCGCCCGCACTCTGAAAGGTCCCCCCGTCCTCACAGAGGGTCCTGCACGGAGGGTCCCGCCCGGAGAGTCCCTCTGCCCGCCCAGAGGATCCCGCTGCCCACCCGGAGGGTCCAGCAGAGAAAGTCCTGCACAGAGGGTCCTTCGCCTGCCCGGAAGGTCCTGCACAGAGAGAGGATCCCTCGCACGCCGGCTCCCGCACGGCCAGAGAATCCCGCACAGGGGCTCCCGCACAGCCAGAGGGTCCCCCCCACTCGCAGGGAGGATTCCGCACAGGGGGTCTTGTCCGGAGGGAGCCCCCACACCCGGAGGGTCCCGCATACCCCGAGGGTCCCGCACAGGGGATCCCACCCGGAGGGTCTTGCAGACCTGGAGGGTCCCGCACACCCCGAGGATCCCGCACAGGGCATTCCACTCGGATGATCCCGCACCCGGAGGGTCCCACACACCCGGAGGACCCCGCACACACCGAAGGTCCCGCACACACCGAAGGTCCCGCACACACCGAAGGTCCCGCACACACCGAAGGTCCCGCACAGGAGATCCCACCCAGAGGGTCCCAGTCGGAGGGTCCCGCACACCCGGAGGACCCCGCACACCCGGAGGACCCCGCACACCCGGAGGACCCCGCACACCCGGAGGACCCCGCACAGGGGATTCCACCCGGAGGATCCCGCACATCCCGAGGGTCCCGCACGAACGCGGCGGTTCCGCGGCCCGCAGCGCTCTCTGCCGGCCGCTGCCGCCCCTGCGCCCCGCAGCGCTGGGCCGGGGGTGCGGGGGGAGCGGGGGGTCCTGGGGGGCTCCGCAAAGAGCCAGCGGCAAACTCAGGGGCGACAACTCACAGGAAAGGGGGAAGCGGGGAGCCAGAGCTCGTGCCGTTGTACGGAAAAGCAGGACTGAAACCACCTCGAGTTCAATGAAAAGCATCTTGGTAATAAATGTAAAGAAAAAAAAAAAACCACAGAAAATCTACAATTTAATTTAGAGATGATAAAAAATACCTTCTTATCGTAGCCCACATTCTAATTTTGATAATGTAACCGTTCCTACCCCACCAATCCCAAAAAAGCAAGGCCATTGTTTTTAAAAGGAAAATGTTCATATGAAATGAAGAGAGGCAGTCTCACATTAGAGGCAAAAGAAAGGACAAAGGAAATAACCTGTTTTCCACTATCAACCTTTCTGAGTTGATGCTTCCCTATGCGTCATCCCGTTATTTTAGCCAAACTCTCAGCTCGATTTGACCCAGCACATGAATTTCCTTCTCCACCAAACGTTCTGTTGGAAACCAGCCCTAGCCCACCCCACAGATGCCACATGGGTGCCCTACATGCCAACACATGGGTCAGAAGCAAGAAAAGAGGTTGCATCCTCCAGTTCCAGCACCTGCCCGGTACCCTGAGGCACGGATGGCACTGCTGCTTGTGCTGAAGTTGCTGCTGCTTGCAGATTTTTGGGGCTGTTCCTGCACTGCACCCCTCAAGCTGCTCACACCGTGGAGCCCACAGGGCTGCAGCAGGGCTTTGCTGGCACACACAGTGGTGCCACGTTTCCACCCTCACACGTGTCCCCGTGGCTCTGCCACTCATTTCTCCTCCAGGAGGCAACTGGCGTGCAAAGCCCCAAAACTCCCACTGAGTACAAGAAAACCTCCTGCCTAAGAAAATAAATGTGTTCTGCGCTCTCTCTGAGCTACCCACAGCAAAGCAAATATGGGCACAGTTGGCTCCCACCATGGCTCTGTTCCTTAAAAACATGTCATTTCAGTCAAACTCTTTCTGGCACATCTGGCTGTCATCAGATAGAGGAGAAAGACAGTCTGTGTCTTCCTCCTGCACGTAGCACAACCAGCCCTGTACCTCGGTATTGCACTTGTCATCCAAGACATCCACAGCCCAAATGGGAATCCCACTGGCTCTGCAGTGGGAGGGCTTGGCAACAGCATCCTCAGGAAGGTGCAGTGCTCTGGGTACCAAACCACCTGCACCAAATAGAGAAGAAGGGAAAAGAGAGGCATCAGGAGGCAGCAGTTGCAGGCCCTGCCAGCTCAGTTTCCAGCCTCAGCATGGGTGCTGATGATCTGGGCAGTGACAGTGACCCAGAAATCCTCTCCTTTTGCAGACATAGGAGGTACAGTTTGGCCTGTCTCAGCTGAGTTTTGGTATCTTGAAGATAAGGAGTCTCTCGGTGCAGACTGAGCATTCACAGACACTCTGTGGGGACTAATTAACAAAAGTGAGTTATAAAGGCTGAACACAAAAAGCATTTGTAAATATCTGGCTTTGTTTTGGTCTCTCCATGCCAGGTTCATGTCCCACTTTCTCTTAAGGCAAACAGAAGGAAGGAGGGTTGGTGGGCACAGACCTTTTGGAGGAGTTGGAAGGAAGTGTCATCTGTGGCATTAACCATTCTCCTCTTTTTAGTGACCCAAGTCCAAGGTCTCAGATCAAGGCAACGAGAAAAGGGACAGGATGGAGGAGGAGCAACAACAATCCCTTGACTTGGAGCCATGTCAGGTGCCATTAAGGCAGTGGCAGCAGCAACACTAAGGACTTGAGAGAAGTCCTTGGCAAGGCAGCCACAGGATCTGCCTTGTGAAACAGCAAAAACTGTCTCAGTGCAAGGCAGTCATCATCCAGTTCACCTCTGCTCCCCCTCAGTGCATCCCACCAGGTGAAGCTTTCTCCTCGTCCTCAAGCAGACTGTCTGAGCTGTCGGAGAAGAAGTCCTCCAGTTCCTGCTGCCTCATCTTGGACTCCAGAGCAGTGATGCGCTGCTTGAGCTTCATCTGGGCATCACTGTACTCTGCCAGGAGCCGGCCAAAGCGGGTGTGCAGTGTGTCCAGGTTCGCGGCCACCCTGTCCAGCTTCTCCTCCATGCTCTTCCCTTCTGTGCTTTCCTCTGCAGCTGACTCATCCAGCAGCCCTTCCTTGATCAGTATCTCCCGGCCACGCTCCTCCAAAATCTTTCTGGCATCAGGATACTCTGTGACTGCTTCCATAAGATCTTCCTTTGACAGGCAGAAGAGATCAGAGTAGCCCAGGCTACGGATGTTGGCCGTGCGCCTGTTGCCCATTTTGCTCCCTTTGATGTTGAGGATGCTGATCTCACCAAAGCAGCCTCCTGCAGTGAGCAGAGCATACTGTGTGGTTCCATCATCCGCCACCACAGCCAGTTTCCCCTCCTTGATGATGTACATCTCTTTCCCAATGTCCCCTTTCCGGCAAACGTAATCCCCTGGGCTAAACACCTGAGGGTGAAGCTTCAGCACCAGCTCCACCAGCAGTCCTGCCTCACAGTCCTGGAAAATCCTCACCTTCTTCAGTGTCTCCAGGTGAACGTTGATGGCAATCTCTGCCCTTAACTTATCAGGGAGGTTCTTGAGGACCTCCCGTTCGTCCACTGCCTTCTGGTTGGTCCACAGGTAGTCAAACCACTTGATGACTTTGGTTTCCAAATCTTTGCTCACCTTGCGGAACTGCATGTAGTGCTTGATGGAGTCAATTTTTGCCTGGAACTCTGCCCTGGTGGCATTCATGTTGGATATCATGGATCCCACATTCCCCACAATGGTGGCAAAGATGAGGACCCCGATGAGGAAGTCGAAGATCACAAAGAGATATTCTTCATCCCGCACAGGGGGAGGGGTCTCTCCAATGGTGGTCAAAGTCAACGTAGACCAGTAAAGACAGTAGACATACCCCCGGGTCAGATGCCCATATTCGGGGTCTGTGACATTGGGATAGACCCAGGTGTCCTCTCCAAAGCCTATGGCCTTGGAGATGGCATAATAAATGCATGCATTCCAGTGGATGATGACCAGGACGTAAAGAACCAAGTTGCTGATGCGGAAGATGTTGGGGTGGCTGGTTCTGGTCTCAGTCCTATCAAAGAACTCAAACATACGGGAGAAGTGCAGCAACCTGTTGAAACGTAATTCAGGGCAGTGCAATCCCACTGCAAAGTATGCCAGGTCTGTGGGCAGGACAGAGACAACATCCAGCTTGAACTGTAGGGTGTGGATGTAGTTATCCCGTAGCTTCTTCAGGTCCTTAATCAGGAGGCCCTGTTCCAAAAACCCTAAAGAGAAGCAAATGATATGATGATCTTGGCTTATGTTTGACTCTTCTGCCTGTTTTGTAAGCACTTGAGCAACAGTTTATGGTATGTCATGCACTTGTGTGCATGAATACACAGGGTCATCCAAATAT